GAGCCGTCTGGAAGGCAGCTCAGCTTAAGGTGCCAAGTTCAGTCAGTTGTGGGTGGGCATAGCCACCATCCCATGTGGGAGTTGAACCAGCAGCTTTATTGTTAAGAACGCGTGCTCTATCCCCTGAGCCATCCGGGTGGCAGCTCAGCTCAAGATGCCAAGTTCAGTCTTAGTTGCAGGCGGGTGTAGCCCACCATCGAACAGGCAGTGTTGTTGTTAGGAGCACGTGCTCTCACCAGCTAAGCTACCCTGCCACCTGTTCGCAGCTCAGCAGCAGCAGTAGCTCAGCTCAGACACAGCGTCACTGGCCCATGTGGGAATCGGACAGGCGACCTTTTATTCTCTGCTAACTTCAGGGATGAGGTCAGGGTCAGCTACAAAATTTGTGGGGGACAATGAAAAATGAAAATGCAGGTCCCCTTGTTTAAAAACATAAAGAATTTCTAGGGCAACAGCAATGCAGTAAACCAAGCATGGGGCCCTCCAATATACAGGGTCCAATGCAACTACACAAGTTACACACCAATGAACTTGGCCATGATTGAGGTCTCTGTTTGCTCAGGGCACTTCTTACTCAGAGAGGTTGGATTTTTTTTTTGTCTTAGCTTTGCTATTGTCCATAGACTGAAAAGTTAACCAAAAGCTATTTTTGCCATGTCTTCCAAGAAGCCTAGTGGTTATTATATATAAAGGATTTCCGGTGGCTTGCTTTGCTATCATAGTTTTCTTAAGCTACATGCGTATAATGGAACCCCACCATTACCATGTGGGTCATCTAAATTTTCTTTCCTCCAAATAAATTCTAGGCTTATTGGAAATAATGGCCATGCCCTTTTTAAAAAAAAATAGCAGTTGTTTTTAATAGAGAGAATTTAAAATTAGTAATTTACTTGAATGGAATCTTAAGAGTTATGAATGATGTCTACTAATTGTGAGCTATACATCCAGGTGGTAATATCATGTAATCACCATATTATGGGGATATAAAGAGTTGATGAGCGGCTTAGGGTCTAGAAGGGCAAAAGTGGGTGTGTTAGTTGGGGACCTGAGATTAAATGTTCCAAGAAAAGGTTAAACAGGAAATGATTTCATTAAAGGAAATACCTTTATAATAGGAAAGAAGGAGGCAAGGAGAGGTAGGAAACCCATTAGACCAAAATGCAAGTGTGATGCAAAATGAAGGAAAGAGTAATAGAAGGTTGGGTAGAAGCATCCCAATGTGAAGTCTAAGGACAGCTCAACAAAAGTTTGGGGGAGTCATTGAGCCCAAGTCAGCCAGAGGAACCCCATGTCTCCCAAGAAAGTCTTGCTTTAGTATCTCCATCACATTCAGTCATTGGTGGGGAGCAGTCTGCGAGAGGTGTGACTTCTGTTCAATGTAGTGATAGATTTCCAAATGCAGCAGCTAGGGTCCTGAGTCATTTAGGTCCAGTTGCAAAAGGCTTTCATGTTCTCATGACCAGCACAGTAGGTATTAGGAACACTGATATTTAAAAGCCTAAAATGTAAAACTACTAGAAGAAAACATGGGGGAAATCTTCTTGACATTGGTCTTGGCAATGATTTTTTTGGATATGACACCAAAATTGCAGGCAATAAAAGCAAAACTAGACTAGTGGGATTGCATCAAACTAAAAAAAAAAAGCTTCTGCACCGCAAAGGTGAAAAATCAACAGCATGAAAAGGCAACCTATGGAATGGGAGGAAATATTTGCAAACCATATATCTGATAAGGGGTTAAGATTCAAAATATATAAGGAACTCATGCAATGCAATAGCAAAGAAGCAAATAATCCAATTTAAAAATGGGCAGAGGACATAAAATTTTTTCCAGAGAAGATATACAAATGGCCAACAGGTATATGAAGAGGTATTCAACATCACTAATCATCAGGGAAATGCAAATAAAAACCACAATGACATATATCACCTGACACTTCTTATAATGGCTGTCATCAAAAAGACAAGAAATAACAAGTGTTGGCAAGGTTGTGGAGAAAAGGGAACCCTCATACACTGTTGGTGGGATTGCAAATTGGTGCAGCTGCTATGGAAGGCAGTGTGGAAGTACCTCAAAAAATTAAAAATTAAATTACCATATGATCCAGCAATCCCTCTTCTGGGTATATGGCCAAAAGAACTGAAATCAGGATCTCGAAGAGACATCTGTATCCTCATGTTCATTGCAGCATTACTCACAACAGCCAAAATATGGAAACAACCTAAAGGTATATTGACATATGAATGGAAAAAGAAGATGTGATACACACACACAATGGAATATTTTTCAGCCTTAAGAAACAAGGAAATCTACCATCTGTGAAAACATAGATGAACTTGGAGGAAAATACACTAAGTGAAATAAGGCAGACACAGAAAGACAAACACTGCATGACTTTACTTCTATGTAAAATCTTTATAAAGTTGAACTCAGAGAAACAGAGGGGAATGGTGGTTGCCAGAGCCTGGGAGTTAGAGAAATGGGGAGATGTGGGTCATAGGGTACAAACTTTCAATTACAAAATGAATAAGTTCTAGAGCTCTAATGTGCAGCATAGTGACTATAGTTAAAAATGTATACTTGAAAATTGCTAAGAGCGTAGATCTTATATTCTTATCACACATACACAAAAAGGTAACTATGTGAGATGATGGATATGTTAACTAGTTTGATTATGATTTTTTCCAGGGTGTGTGTGTGTGTGTGTGTGTAAAGGCATCAAGTTGTAAACTTTTATGTGCAATTTCTATTTGTCAAATCGACTCAAATAAAACTGAAAGAAAAAACTTTATACAACGACATGGGTGAACCTAGAGGGTATCATTCTAAGTGAAACAAGTCAGACAGAGAAAGACAAATACCATATGATCTCACTTATATGTGGAATATAAAGAAAAAAATAAACAAACAAACAAAACAAACACAGACTCATAGACACAGGGAACAAACTGGTGGTTACCAGATGGGAGAGGGTTTTGGGGTGGCTGGATGTGAAAGGTGAAGGGATTAACAAGTACAAATGAGTAGTTCGAAAGCAGTCACAGGGATGTAAATTACAGCATAGGGAACATAATCATTAATATTCTAATAACTGTACAGGGTAAGATGGGTAATAGACTCATTGGGGTTATTTTGTGAGGTATATCAATGTCTAATCACTATGTTGTTTTGTACACCTGAAACAAATACAGTATTTTATGTCAATGATAATTAAAAAGTAAATTTTTAAAAATTAAAAAAAAACATTCGATAAAGAAGCCTCAGAGACAATTTAAAAACCATTTTGTGTGATTTAGACAAAGAGCTGAGGACCATGTAAGCTCTACTTCCTTCAGAAGACCTTTCTTGACCCTGATATTTGGTTAGATATCTCCACTCTATGCTTTGAGAACCCTCCATGCTTCCCCGGCCATAACACTCACCTCAGTTTATTGTAATTGCTTGTTTACTGCCTGTCCTCACTACTAGTTCATTTTCTCTTTGAGAATAATAATTTTTCCTCCTTCACTGCTGAATCCCCTGGGCTTACTTAGCTCAATGACTGAAAAAAGTACTAAAAAATATTTGCTGAAACTCACATTGGGGTACATTCTACCAAATACCTGGCCTGTATGCTTCAAAACATTTGTTGATATGAAGTTCAAAGAAAGGCAAAGAACTATTTCAGATTAATGAGACTAAAGAGATATGACAACTAAATGCAATGCATGAGCATGGACCAGTAAATGAAAGGCTATTAATGGAATAATTGTCATACGGTGAATGAAGAGTGTGGATTAGATTCTATTACAAAAACCATGTTAAATTTCCTGACTTTGAAATTGAGCTGAGGTTATGTAAAAGAATGCCTTTGTTCTTAAGAAATAAACACTGAAGTATCTAACGGTAAGGGACATGATATCTGCAGATTATTCTCAAATAGTTCAGAAAATAATATCTATAATATAACAATACAGATATTATACACACACACACAGAGAATGATAAATGTAGCAAAACATTAACAATTGATGAATCTGGGTCAAGGGTCCAGAGGATTCCTTTACCATTTGTGAATTTTCTGTAAGTTTTAAATTATATAAGAATAAAATGCTTTTTTCAAAAAAAGTATTTCTTGAATGAATGAAAGACAAAAGGATAACTATAGTTTGAAGGTTTTTATGATGAAGTTACCAATAGAGATGCTGGTGGAACATTCAGAGAAGTGGGGAACTTATGCCAAGGACGAAAATATCCAAGCCAGTTTAACATGTAAGTGAGAAATGAGGAAGTGGAGGACAATAAAGATGACTTTGGATTTGGCCAATCTATTTGGAGAAGCAGTCGAATGCAAGAATAGAAGCCAGAATTAAGGTGCTCAGTGAGGCGTTTGAAGGCTAGAGAGATGATAGCATCCTCAGAGGTAAAACTCTTTCAGTTACAAGAAAGGCTAGGGTTTAGGACCTACCTGACTTAAATGCTTATTTTCTTCTATACATGAAGTGGTTTTGTAAACTATTTCACCTTGTCAATACTTAATGTTAATTTTGAAAGTAGTAGATAAGAGTATAAGGTCTACACTTTTACATGGCAGCTTAATTCATGTTTATTTCCTGAAAATGGCAACAAATTAAAATCACCATGGGCCTTTGTTCTAAATGTAACTATGTGAAGATTGTTAATTTTTTGTAGAAAAATATTGAAAATATAAAGAGTTTGTTATTAAGGTCTTTTCTTAGACATATAAATACTAAATATTCAACTAAACACATAAAGTTTTCTATTTGAGTATTATTTAGGTAGAATTCCATTTTAACAAATACAATAACAAAGTATAATTCTTCTTAACAGCCTAAAATGACCTACTTATAGTATGTGTGGCTTCATTGTTTAACACCCTTATTCATAAGATTGCTATTTATAATCACTTACCTCAACCCCCTGGGGACTTAGTAGGATTAGTGACTTCTGATTCAGTTTGTATTTTAAGATTTTTTTCCCTCCATCCTTGCTCAGCTAGTGGAATCCATGATGAATTCTCATCTCCAAGGGGTAAGCTGTTTTCCGTAAAGCCCAGTAGCTGGTTTATGATTCCTTAGACATAGCATCGATTCCTTTCTTTTGTGTTTGTTTCTTCCAGAATGATAGATTCCATGTAGACATACATATTCCATCATCATGCTTACGTGTGGTTAAGCATGTAATTGTTTTCGTTTTGTTAAGTTATATGTTTAAGGACTATCTGGGCTCATATCAGAAAAATAAATAAGCATAATTAGCATTCTACTTGTTTAGCATGATAAATAGAGACAACTCGAGCTAGAATGAGGAAGCTCAACAATAGAAGGGAACTGGAGGTCATATGAGGATGAAGATTAGAGACGAAACACTGTTTTTGAGAGCAGCATTTGGTAAGGGCACCAGATTGGGGGCAGAGAACAGAATTTCACAGATGGATATTTGGGAGGTGGGCAGTTTGAGTAATGGCAGGATCTAAGGTGTTCTCCCGTCTGTAGGTGGTTCAGTGGAATAGAGGTGAAGGTTACGGGATTATAAAACTAAGTTGCCAGGTCAAAGAAATTGTCATAGCAAATAAATAGAATATGCTCAGAAGAGAACGCAGTGAAAAGAAAAAAATAATCCTAGTTGTTCCTCTCACTGTCCGCATGCGTTCTGTTCATTAGCAAAAAGGTCTTTCAGTCACTGTTTCTATAGTATCTTAATTAAAAATACTTAAATATATGCCATATTCAAATTCTTCCCTTAATTTCTGGAAAGAAAATTGAAGGAGAAAATTCCCATTCTGTTCTGAAGAACCACTATTTAATGAGTATATTAGTGTCTGATAAATTCCATGTATATATTATTGTGCCATTTCCTTTTTGAAATGGACATTACAGTATGTGTTGACCAAAGAGTAGGATAAAGAGTTACTATTTTGTTTTGAAATACATGAAAAATGCATAGTTTTATTGCAGTTGTGAATCTTAGATTTTTAAGGAGGCTGCTTCAAAGGATGTCATTAATAATCTTCTCAGGTGCTTATAAAGCATGTGTCTGTCAGCGGAATTAGAGAATCACCCAACTAGAGAACAGGTTTCACAATACCCCGAGACCTACTTTGTTCATTAGAGAGGAAAATGGCTTGTTTTAAGTCTGAACTGACATGCTTGCTAATTTCAGCAGTAAAAGCTGTTCATTGTGGTCGGGTTTAATTTAGAGCCTGGTAAGGTTCAGATTAAAGTTGATCAAGTTGCTTCTACAACTTACTTCTTAAACAAACTTTGTAATCCTAAAAGAAGAAAACAAAAAAAATATATAGCCAACATTGCGTAATGTATCCAGAAGTGAGAAGCAAAAAAGAGCTTGGTTATTTGAGGGTGAATTCATATGAAATCAAAGAAAAAGACCAAAGAAAATTTTGTTATCTAAAAATTTCCAAGTATCCAAAAACACAAATTTTCATTTAAATTACACAAAGCATATCTAATACTTTAATTTACTACTATATAGCAGCTAGAACAGTGCCTAGTACTCGATATTTATAAAATGAAAAAAAAATAGTAAATGAATGAATTTGTATACTTTGCTTAGCTATGTGTATTTAGAGTTCTTTGTTAAATTTGAGGGGAAGATTTGACTTTATATGAGGTTTCTGGGTAGGTCTGTTTTTTAAAAATCTATCAAATATATTAAACATTTAAGAGCTGGGAATTCCAAAGTACCTTTTCAGCTTGCTGTGTCACAGATGACCAGAGTTTAACATTCTAACCCTGGAAAACATCTTATTTCATAAAATCTATCTGCTACTATGTGGTTCCCACTTTAAAAGTTGTTCAGTTCTCTCCAATTGACTTATGTCACTTACTTCAATACCTGTCTTTGGCAGTTTGTTCCATATTTCAAACACCCTTTTGTGTAAAGAAACCATAAAAGTTAGAAACCTGAAAATTGGATTTTTCTTCTGAGCAATCACAGCTTACAAATGTGGAAAATTTGTTAAAAGTTAGCCCCTCCAAATTTCCAATACAGAGAAGGAAAAATGCTGGAAGTAGATGTGTAATGTTTGGATAAGTTCTTCCTATTATTTTACTACTACCAAAAGCAATTGAGCTTAAATCACAAGGCCTGTCGTCCTACGTCTTCACCAAAGAAACAGTACAGAATAATCAAATCTGGCCTTTCCAAAACCAAAAATCTTTAGAAAATCAGCAGCAGTCAAAGGACATAGTAGATAACCAATTTTCATAAACATCACTATCCACCACATTTCATTTCTTCACTTTCATAAACTTCCTGTGGTAGCAAAAAGAGCATCAGATTTAAAACCATAAAGAATCTGAAAGCGGGCCAGCCGAGTGGCTCAGTTGGTTAAGAGCTCACTCAAGAGTGCGAGCTCTGAGGAACAGCGGTTCGAGTCCAGGCCAGAGCTGAGCTGCCAACAGGTGGCAGGATGGCTCAGCTAAAAAAATTTTTAAAAAGCATCCGAAAGTTTGGCTATTAGCGTGGTTATTAGGAGAATACACATGAGAAAATGCATGCAAAACATCTGTCATATAGTGGTTATAAGTTAACACATATTAATTATACTTCCAAAATTGAAGCAAAATATACTCAGTTTTAGAATGAGAACAAGAGAGATACCTTTTTCCCCCAAATTTCTTTGTATATATCACTGGGATTTTGGCCCTTTATGTAGAGAGAGTAAGGTGGCAGAGACAAGAGACAGACCCTTGAGGGAGAGAGGAATTTCTTAATGATTAACATAGCTACCTATAGATAAGAAACGTATTTCTTTGCTTCATTCTATTTGGTGCTTTTTATCTAAAGCAGTGTTAAATTAAAGTCAGTTGTACTGCAGAATATAAATACTAACTTCTATTCTGATGTTTTCCAAATTTGCCTGATCATAAGAATTAAGTAGAGAACTTGTTACAAATGTAAATTCCCAGCACTCCTCCCTGCTAATTTATTTGTTCTGGGGTGAGGCAGAGGAGATTTGGGGGAAAGACTAATTGAGCTCACCTGCTCATTTTATAGGTGAGGAATCTCAGGTACAAAGAAGTTAAATAAGTTATATCTCTTAAATCACTTCTGTGCTTTTTTCCCTTTCTGAAATATACACCTTAATTTTGACACCGCATAGAATGAGATTACAAGTATAACTATCTTTCTCTTAAATATGTTGCCATAATTCAAAATTACATTTCTTACTCATGGCACTCATATATTGGGTTGAGTAAATCTAGGTGCTCTGGAATGACTCTGTCTAAGCTCTTAAATAGTGAAGCAAATCTATGATCAAGATTTTCATTTGAAATATTTGGGGTATCTAAGAATGAAACACATCTCTTGTTAAATTGCTCTCTATAAAGCCTTACACATTAGAGATTTATAGCCAGTAACATCTTTGTTTATTTCTACAAGTGCTTTGGTTAGCTTGAAAATCACACTTTACTTTGTATTACATAAAAGGAATGCACAATGCTGGAGAACCTTAATATTGAGTTATTTTTGTCCCTTCAGGCCACCCTGCAGGATTTGGAGCAGAGGCGCCCCCAGTTGGAAGAACTCATTACTGCTGCCCAGAATTTGAAAAACAAGACCAGCAATCAAGAGGCTAGAACAGTCATTACTGATCGAAGTAAGTCTTCTAAAGAGGCATGTGAAACTTAAGGAAAGATGTATTGAAAGTTGCCGTAATGACTTAGGTTCAAATACCTCCCTCGAATTTATAAAAATAGTGCAAAATAGTTGTAAATTATAACTATTATACTAAGATTTTCAGTCCAGAATGTTTTCTTTCAATAACTGTATCTAATTCCACAAACTAGAGGAAGTATAATTTTCATCAGTGCAGACTTGTGTAGTTGCAAAGCATGGCGTGGTGGGCGTGGTAAGTATGTCGTGACAGAATGTTTGTTCCTCGCTTGTCATTTAGCTGGGCTGGCGTCCATGGAGATACCAGCCTCTCCCTCATATCCTTGGTTGTTGGTCCAAGCAGGCAGTTGCTTCCTGGACTAGCTTTTATTTTCGTCTACAGTGGCACTTCCAGATCTCGACATCTCTCTGCTACTCGGATGCCCTCGTTGTGTGCTATCAGCAATTATTGAACCATTCTTTGTGCCATTGTGGGGTGGGTGGGAACTCTGAGAGGCTGTTTGAGGCCCCTTTACCTAAACACTGCCCATGCTCTTTTCTTTTTTTCTTCTTTACACAGAGTGATTCAGAGTGACTGTGCATGGGGTCAGGAAGAGGGGTACAGGAGGAATAGGGGAAACCGTTCTCCATGGGGTTCCCCTCAGAGGCTCTCCTCAGGCATGAGGCCCAGGTCACCTTTGCTAACAGATTCTCTTGGTTCTCCCTGGGTGTCTTCCCTTCCCTCCATACACCTTACCTCCATAGATATACTTCGATAGTGAATTTTTGTACTGCCCCTGCAGTGCTTCCTCATTTTCTTTCCCACAACCAGAAGAATCTTTTCTAGTGCAGGAGTAGGGAGAACCTTCCTTTATCTTTGATACTTCTGAATCTTTTGTCTTAGGCTAGGCCAAGGCTTTGGAAACTCAAAAACCAAGTCTTCATCTTCAGACTCTACATTCTGTTGTGTTGACGCTTCCTTAAGGAAGTGCCTCCTAGGTATCAGGCAGTATGTGTGTTTGTGTGTGTGTGTGTGTGTGTGTGTGTGTGTGTGTGTGTGTGTGTGTGTGTGAAAGAGAGAGAGAGAGAGAAATCTTTGCAAAATCCTGTCAGCTAAATTTCATAACCTCCATTTTATAGATAGGAAACAATTTCTGAGAAGGGTTAATCAAATTTCTCAAGCTTACCAAACAAGCAAATCACAGCTTAGAATTTGCAAATGTCTCTTTCTGGTTCGAAAGTCTGTGTTCCTTCTTGTCTGTTTACTACTTCCCATCTTGTTCTGTTGTTTTTGTTAATGACCTTAATCACTAGGACTAGGATTAAGTGCGTTTTTGATCTGCAATTAGGTATGTTTTTATGCACTTCCTAAAGACATTTCCTCTCCCTGTTGCAGTGATTGTTAATTAAAATAGACTTTTTTTGATTCTGAAATTTTAACTCTTTCTCGTTGCTCAGTTTCTTTGGGTCTGTGCTAATGTATTCGTTGGGTAGCACTAGCAGCTATAAAGGTGAGTCCCCAAATCTCGGTGGTTTACCACAGTAGAAGTTTACTTTTTCTTCTGGTGCAGTCCCAAATGAGCAGCCCCCTAGGAAATCATTCAGGGACCCAAGCCCCTTCCATCTTTTGGGTCCAGAACATCGGAGTCCTATGCATTGAATGGGCAGATGAGGAATGAGTATTGCTCATTGGAATTTAGTATGAGCCAGGCCTGAAAATGGTGCACATTAATTCCATTTATAGTGTGTTCACTGGAACTCATCACATGGCCACACCTAACGGCAAGGGAAGCTGGGAAATATTTTCCAGTGGTGAGCCCAGGAAGAAGAGAAACTAGTCTGGTAAGGAATTAGTCAGTCTCATCCACAGCTAATTTGTACAGGAAGAATGCACTTACAGTCTGTAGTTCTGTGTTAGTTATGGGATATCGTTTCTATGCTTAGCAAAGCAAGAGCAAAACTGCCTTGTAATAACCAACATAGATAGCTGTTCAATTGATGTAGTAGAGTATTCCTCCCTCAAACTGGAACCATGAGGCTTCTCCACCAGGTTGCAACACACTGGCCCCAAAAAAGTGAATATTTATGAGTATAGGACTGACTTTCCAATACACAGTTACACAATTAAGTGATCTGTTTCTTGCCTGAGAAATATGGATATTTTGCAAAGATATTTATGCAAACCTGAACAGATTAGTATATAGAAAGTCACTAGTTATTTTCCTAATGCAAAATAACTTCTATTTTTACCTAAGAGAAAAATCACACTTATTTATTTTATAGCATCCATTCAGTATTGTCTAAACATTTTTCATTACCCCTTGCAATCTTTTTTTGATATTGTATTGACGTGTTTTTGTGATGTAGATTAAAATTGAGGACTATAGGGCGGGTTTGTATCTCTCTACTAATATCCAGTGGTTTGAATGGTGCTGCTTTCCTAAGCTTTTATCTATTAGGAATGACTACCTTCATGAATATTTACAGCGTAGTGGTAGGATTCCAATCCAAATGGTCCAAAAAAGCATTTTCTTAAAAGCAAGTGTCTGTTGAGACATGTTGTGTTGCTTATTAAGAGCCTAAGCCCGAATCTTAGTTCCAAATATGCCTGGAGCCTCTAGTGCCGATACCAGGATAATTCTGGCAAGATATGTTTATCCAAACAATGACATTTGTGGCCCTGTTCAGCTTCATTTTATCTCCATTTGAAATCTATGAAATGGGATGGAAATTCAATACTCACCAAGTTTCAATTGTGTTCAGAATAGAATTTTTTTAGTATGGATTCAGTTTTCAGGGAATAAGCAGAAATAAAATACTTGCTCATAAAATTGTAGTTTCTTATTTGAAGATTTCAGTATTCCTTTTTTTATTGCCTTGAAACTTCTAGAATACTTAAAAAGGAATCAGCAAAATAACGAAAAATATTCAATAAGTGTGTAATGCTATATTGAAACATTTTTCCCTCGGTAAATCCCAGTTCATAACTTTGAACAGTTGGGGAAATCTATACATAGTTATTACATTCTGTTAAGAGAAAAGTCCAGCAAAAAAGCAATTCCTCTCTAATAGTAATATCCATGCTAATATCTCAAGTAATGGGTCTACAAAATACAAACATGTTTTACTGTATAAACCTATTTCCATGGTATCCGTTGTTTTTGGGTGATTATATTGATGGAAATCCTGGTGTAATAAACTAGGTGAGAGAATAAATTTCATTCTAAGTACCTTCAAATGAAAAATTCTCCCTGCTGTTTCTGATGTTCAGCCTGCTCGTTTTCCTTCAACTCTTTGATTGCTGAATGTGTCAGCCATTCCTGGTCATTTTCTTCTGCAAAAGAGCTAGGTCAGGGGACCAAAAACAGATAAGATGAAAAACAGATCTAAAATTGTGTCCTTGGAGATTTCTGAATTATGGAAAATTCTTGTTCATGTTCATTACTACTGCAAATCATAGTACCATAATACCTCGCATAGCAATTAGGAGGCTATGGAAAGAAAGAACCACTATCTCTTATTGCGGTGTGTATGCCACAAATAATATTGGTGAACATCTGACATTTGTATTTGAGAGCCTTCCTTCTGTAGTGTCTACGTCCATAACCCCCACCATTACCATTTAAAAAATCTATAGAAATAGCACATATTGGTTTTGAAGACAAGCTTCCTGGGCTGGCCACTTATTAGCTTTGTGACCCTGAACCAACATTCTCCATAAACTATCTGATTTCACTTTCCTCCTCTATAAAATAAGATTACTTGTGTCTACCTCAAGGTTGGAAGAATTAGATAAGGTAACGCATGAAGAGCATTTAGATCCCAGACATATTAAGAGCTCAATGAATGCTGACTCTTGTTGTTTTAATTATAATCTAATTGGGTTGTTGGAATGCTTAGTGGGAAAGCATTTAATAAGCTCTTTGGTAGCTACGTGGTTCTTCCACGGGGCATGGCGAGGGGATTGAGAAATTGAGATTGTAAAAACCAAAAGGAGAAGGTTGCTTTGGAAAAGACAGAATAAGATATATATTCTAAATGGAATTAAACAAATATTTGGAAAAGCTTTTATGTACGTGGTACTACAGAAAGCAAAGTAATTCATGTGAGCTATTTCATTTTTAATATTTACTATAACCTTAGGAGGTGTTGATATTATTATTCTCATTTTAGAGACAGAAAACTGAAGCTCAGAGAGCTTAAGTAACCTGCCTAGGGTCCTAGTACAATTTCAAGAAAGGGACTAGGATTTAAATTCATGCCTGTCTGATTCTGAAGCCTGAGGCACATCAAATACAAAGGGCTGGTTAGGTAAAAAAAATAGAAAGAACTATTTATTTGAGAACTTAAAATATTAGGAATAACCTCAGTTTACTATAATTTGAATATAACTTTTGCTGCTTCTACCTATAACGTTGCCTTCTATGCCTTTGGGTGTCTGATCATAGGATTGTCCCTTACATGTGTTGAAAATGTACAGGGCAGTGGACCTCAGTAATCTACTAGCTGCACATCCTTGGCCAAGTGGGTTCACTTCTGTAAGCCATGGTTCCCTCATCTGTGATGTGGCACTAATAATAATATTGAAGCTGGTAGGGTGATGATGAAGATAAAATTACATGATGTCTAAAGTGAAGACCTGGCACATACTAGGTGCTCATTAAATGGTACACACCATCATGGTGAGATGAAGTTGGTACAGAGGAACTGGAGATGGGAGAATATGAAGGGGGTGTGATATAGGGCCTTTTACCTGCTAAACCAGGGGAGAGGAACTTGTGAAACAGAATGTCAAGTCTTAAGAGAGAACTGTGTCTTTTAAAATCAATGTTTCAGCTAAGGCTTTTTCAAACCCGTTTGAAATTCTTGGAGAAATTTGGTGACATCTTATAAATTTTAAGAAAATAAATTTGCATCATATTGCTTCAATTGCTGATATACAGGGCCGTAGAAGCGAAACGCTCTGCTCTGTGACAATAGAGATACTCACAGGATTTTTGAATT